CCTGAGATCGAGTCCCACATTGGGCTCCCGGCTCAGCGGGGAGCCTGCTTCTCCCTCTGACCCTATCCCCTCTCATGCTGTTTCTCTCTCTCTCTCTCTCTCTCTCTCAAATAAATAAATAAATAAATAATTTTAAAAAAGGAACAAGGATCATAAAACCTTATTTAATCCATTTGGCAGATAATAACCTATCTTTTATTTTCACAGTAAAAAATGGTCTAATTAGTTACTGCTGCATATATAACAAATTACCTAAATTTCAGTGGCTGTAAAAACAAACTCTATGACCTCCCAGGTTTTTGGGTCAGGAATCCAGGAGTGGCTTACCCAGGTGGTTCTGGCCCACGATCTTATGAAACATTAATGGAGGGTTGGCCAGGGCTGTGGTCACCTCCCTGCTCACCAGGCTGTTGGCAGGCCTCTTAGATCTGCTTCCAAGCTCACTCACATGGGCGTCTGCACAGGGATGTCTCCCAGCATGGCCCTGGCCTCCCCCAGGAATGGGAGAAAGAGAGCCCACATGGTGACCTCCCATTGCTTCTGCTGTCTTCTCTTTACTTGAAGCACCAGGGTTGGGGTCACGCAAAGATGTGGTTGACAGGAGGGAGATCTTTGGAGGCTGTCAGAGAGGCTGCCATCACAGCTGAAAGGTAGAAATAAAGACCCAAGTAGGATAGGGAGGAAAGTGGGCGTGATGGAGACATTGGTAACTTCAGAGGAGTGGGTCTGTTGCCCTCAGGTATTATAGGGATTTGTCCAAGAAATAAAATGAATTCCAGTGTTGATGTAATTTAGAAAATCTAAAGAGTAACTGCAGTGATTTATGAGAAATATGTATTTGGTTGTTCAGATGATCAAAATATACCTGATGTATTTGGTCTTTATCCAGTTCCTGGAAATGCTTCTGAGCCAGAAAGGTGACATGGTCTTAATGAAGGTGACTTTGGGACCCCACCCCAGGGCGGGGCGGGCTGCCAGGAGGACCAACCTTGTGATCAGAGGTTGGAAGGTTCAGCCCCATCCCTGACCTCTGGGGAGAGGATGCAGGTTGACTCCGCCAGTGGCCAGTGATTTCATCAATCCTGGCTACGCAATGAAGCCTCCATAAAAACCCAAGAGGTCAGCTTTTTGGTCCTTTCTGGAGACCTTCCACGCTTAGGGAAATAACTCTTCTACGATGAGCCGGCCCCAAGCTCCATGACGACAGAAACTCAGTTGTCTGGCACCTCACTCTTCGTGTCCTTTATCGTATCCTTTAAGGAACTGGGAAGCACAAGGCAGTGCCCCCGAGGTCTGTGAGCTGCTCTGGCAAGTTCGAAGAACCTAAGGAGGAGGTGGTTGGAAACTCCAATCTGCCAGTGGGTCAGAAGCACAGGGAGCAGCCTGGTGCCTATGACTGGTGTCGGAAGGTGGGGTGGGCAGTCTTAGAGGACTCAGCCCTTAACGTGTGGGATCTGATGCCATCTTTGGGTAGATAGTGTCAGAATTGAGTTGAATTCTCGGACACTGGGACACTCAGCTGGTATCCTGAGAATTGCTTGGAGTTGTGAGTGGGGGATCCCCCATGTTGGAAATTGGGTGCTCAGAACCCTAAAAGAGCACAGGCGGAGTAGCAGGGAACTACAGGATCATATTGATTGTTCTTTTAAAGACGTTTTGACATCAGAAATTGTGCTTGTCTTCCTGCAGGCCATGGGGGATCAGGACTTACCTGGCGTGTTGGTGTCTGGATTGGAGGGATCTTATGGTATATGTGAAGATCATGTTGGAGATCTGCAGAAACACTTTAATCTCATTACCTTGCAAGAATTTTTGGAAAATAAAATGCAATTTGGCCCAAAGATCCAAGCTGTATATATCTGGGGAGGAAGGCCAGCTATTGACCAGGAGCTCCTGGGGAGCCTGCCCTCCTTGAAGATAATTGCCAGCGCAGGAGTAGGTCTCGATCACCTGGACCTGAAGCTCATTGCCAGCTTTGGTGTGAAGGTAGCCAACACACCACAGGCCGTGTCCAGCCCCACGGCCGACATGGGGATGGCTTTACTGCTGGCGGCCGCTCGCAGGGTCGTGGAAGGTAAACAGCCATTGGAGATGCTGGTTTTCCAAAGAGAGCAGATGACAGAGGATAGCAGAGATGCTAACGTAATTTTGTTTTCAAACAACAAGTCTTTCCTGGGCCCTGACTTCTTCACACTGTATCCAGGACTTTGTTGCACTTGGGAATTGGGCCCATTGAGGGCCCGAGCCCAGCTCCCCGGCACATGGCGGCCTGCAGTCTGTCTGACGGCAGCCCTGTCCACCCCCCACCAGCTTCCACTCATTCCCTTGACAGTGGAATGGAAGTAATTTCATCATCTCCATGGAAATGCCCTGGGGGTCATTCCTTGGTTAGTCAGCAGTCTCTGCTGGGGTGAAGGCCTCCGAGTAAGAAGGCAGGACCTCTGCACACCCTGGACATCTCTGGGAGGGCCCCCAGGAAGGGCAGCAGAGCAGTTCAGCCCTTCCCTCTCCCTCCTGGTGGACTTGGGTACGAAGACACCTGAGGAAAGGGGAAGCGAGAACCAGGCTCTTTCTGGTCTGGCTGTGGTTCATGCGCATGCACACACATACCAACACCAACAAATTTTAACCAGAAGGCCTTCCTTAATGTAAAAGAAGCTGGTGTTTTAAAGCTTTCTACCAGGATGCTCTGGTTTTGTTACGAGGAAATTGCCGTTTGTCCCCCCCTTCAGCCCTTACAGAAACCTTTGTCTGTGGTCAGAGAGGCGTGAGCGCTGTGGAGTCAGAAGGCCCCAGGGAGGGTGTGGGCTTCTGTGTGTGGTGCCATCCCCACCACTCACTCTGTACCTTTTATATTTTAGGTCATATGTTGGCCAGTGCACCAGATACAGAGAAATTTTCTACAAATTGGATGGGTCAAGAGGTGACGGGGGCCACTCTGGGACTCATTGGCATGGGCAGCATTGGTTATAAGATTGCTCAGAGAGCCAAAGCATTCGAAATGAAGGTTCTGTATCACAACAGGAGACGCAGGTAAACATTCAGAAAATGGACCTGAAATTAACTGAGCAGAACTCGTACCGTTACGGCCTTCAATATGGCTTGGATATAGGATCCCCCCGTTTTTCATAAGACTCCCCTGCTCTTTCTCTCCAAAAAATAAGGATGATGGTCAAGAAAGCGATGGTGATTACCTAGGAATGTGGCTGAGACTTTTTTTTATTGAAAATATTCACCAAAAGAGATTTTAACTCACAATTGTATTTTTTAAATTTCTAAAGTGAAAGGGAGAAGCTGTCCATACCCACTGAGCAACTTGACTGGTCCCTTTAATACTGACGGACGTGTTGGCTCTCAGCAAGGGACCCGCGTCCTTGAGTGTGCAGGCTCTCCCTCAGCCCAGCGCCCAGGCTTGTTGGCTCCGTCTCCAAACAGCCTTCAGACCTGCCTATTCTCTCTCACTTCATCTATGCCACTGGCTCAGGCCCCGTCCTTTCTCACCTGAAATACATATTTCTCCTACGGGACTGCTCACTTCTGCTCTTGAACCTCCAGCCCTCCTTGCAAACCAGCCAGATGATGGCCATTGTTTACAGCCTTTCAGGGGCCTCCCACTGCCTGTGGACCACATTCCCAGCTGGTGAGGAACTCTTGGAGACATGGTGAGCTGGGAGATTGTCTTTTCAGTCAGTGTTTGCACTATGGACGGTGAAGAGACTTAGGTGTGACAACTTTCCTTGTGATGAACACGCACACACAGAGGCCAGGCTTCTTGCAGGACAAAGTGTGTGATGTGGGCACGGTGTTCGTCCTTCCTCGGGGCTGTCCACTGACCCAAACACATGTTAGGAGAGAATTTGTGTAATTTGGAATTCCAAATTTGTAGAGCCGTGGCGGCTGCCTAGGATGCGGTGACCTCTAGGATCTTGGAACCTCTGCTGAATAACCAGCTGTTTGGGGTGGCCCGAGCAGGAATTAGGATTGAACCAAAACAAAACACAAAAGTCTGCCTGCTTCAGACTCTGGGATCCTTGGTTTCTGCGTGATAAGCAGCATTCCTAGGCCCTTTCCTGTTCTGTTTGTGTGTTTTCTGGAAACCTGGATGTGTTTGTCCACATTAGTGATGCTCTGTGGTCACAGAAGTACATGCTCGTGCTGTGACTTGAGTGGAACCTACTTCCTTTCAGTAACGTTCTGTGGTCGCTGAGCGTGTGTCTGGTGCACTGTCGGGCTTGTACCAGGCTCTGGGGGTTCAAGTGACAAGAAGCTCCTGGCCTCAAGGGGCCTCAGTCTGGTGTGAACTCCCACAGACCCTGAGGCCTCCCCTCCGAGAACCCAGAGGTGCCCACGGGGTTCCCATGGGTCCTGGAGCCAGTGGTGACAGGCCACGTCCTTGGCTCCCCTCAGAACCTCCTTCCTGGGGCAATGTGATGAATTTCTGACTGGAGAACGTGGTTTTTCTTCCTTGTTCCTTCATAGGAAATTAGAGGAGGAGGAAGCTGTTGGTGCCACTTACTGTGAGAGCCTGGATGACCTGCTTCAGCGATCAGACTTCGTGCTGTTGGCTGTGAGCCTGACACCCCAGACCCAGAGGCTGATTGGGAAGAGGGAGCTGAGTCTGATGAAGCCCACGGCCATTCTCATCAACATCGGCAGAGGTCCTGCCTCCACGGAGTGTGGGCCCGGGGGCTGGACAGTCATGCAGGAGGAAATGCCCCGGCCATGCAGCTCCTCTGATCTGCCTTTCTCCCAATGGCTGTGGCGTCCAAAAGTCCCCTGAGATGGGGATGCTGAGTTTGAGGGAGTCTACTTCCTGTTTAGAGATACTTCTGATTTTTGTTTTCACATCATTTTGAAACTCAAATTAATAACAAAAAGGATGAGAATGTTACAATATGGGGCTTTCACAGCCCAATTTGGGCATCTACTTGGGGTAGGGGCATTAGGTTTGGTTTTCCAGGTGTAATTAAGCAAAATTTATGGGGATGAATTTTCTGAGCCTTCACTTTAAAAAGTAAGTAACTTATTTATGTAGTGCTTTGTGTTTATATACAGGACGTAGTTGCATGTGTTGTGAGTTGGTTGGTGTGGCACTTATAAAGAATCTGAGGATCAGTGCTGCTTGCTGTCAAACATCCAGGCCATGCACCTTTGTGGGGTTCAGAGCCAGAGGACGTGTGACACCTGGGGCTACCAACAGCACATGTGTCTCATCCGTAAAACGAGGAAAACAGTGCTTGCCACCTGAGATTGTAATTTGTAAGAAATACAGGTTTGGTCATTCGGCTGTGGTCTTCATCCACAGTGCCTGGCTCTCTGCTCCCCAAACCCTCAACGTTTCCCAAGTGTTGAGAGTGCTAAAGGTGTCTTTTGTTAATGAAGGCGACTTTTGGAACCTACTCAAGCTGCCAGGAGGTCCAACCATGTGATCAGAGGGCTGGAACTTTTGGCCCCACGCCTGACCTCTGGGGAGGGGAAAGGGCCTGGAGGTTCAGTCAGCCAATGGTCAATGATTTAATCAATCGTGGCTATGCGAAGAAGCCTCCCTAAAAACCCAAAAGGGCTGGGTTCGGAATTTTCCGGATTGGTGAACACCTGGAGACTGGGAAGAGTGGTTGTCGGGAGAGGGCATGGAAGCTCCACACCCTTTCCCCAGACCGCTCCCTGTGCACCTCTTCATCTGGCTCTTGATTCTTACTCTTTGTCATACCCTTTAACAAACAGATAAACGTGTTTCCCTGAGTTCTGTGAGCCGCTGCAGCAAATTACGGAGGAGGTCACTGGAACCTCCAATCTGCAGCCAGTTGGTCAGAAGCACAAGTCACATCCTGGGATTTCCGACTGGTGTCTGAATTCGGGGGCAGGAGGCAGTCTTATAGGACTGAGCCCTTAACCTGTGAGATCAGATGCTATTTCCAAGGCAGACAGTGTCAGAATGGAGTTGAAGTCTCAGACACCTTGCTGCTATCCCAAGAATTGCTTGGTCTTGTAGGAGGTCCCCCCCCCACGTTGGAATTGGGTTCGGGAACCCAAAAAGAGTTGGTGTCGGAAGAGCAGAAAACCGCACAGGGCTGAGCTAACATGCTTGAGAGTTCTCTGAAAATTCAGGCCCTGTAGGCGAGCCGGGAGGACCAGTGCCTTAGGTAGTTTCAGTAATGTCAGAGGCTGGTGAACATACTCAAGATTCTGGAAAACCTGCCCAGGAAAGGGCGTGGGACGAGGCATCTCCAGCAGCAGCCCCCCACACACCAGGGGCGCTCTGTGTCCTGACCAGCAGGCCGCCCCTCCATCAGTCAGCGGAAAGGATGCTGGCGTTTGGCTCCTTGCCAGTCTCTGCCTCAAGGAAGGGGTTTTCTTCTCAGCTTCTGCTCTTCTGTATTTGAAATGACAGTTGTGGATTGTGCTTGTGGTTTAGTTTTTAAAGTGTGTTTGCAGTGTCTGGGGGCTGTGTCCGTAACCTGGGGAGGTGGTGTGTAAAGTGAGACAGGCCCAGGCCAGAGCTTAAACAAACCTGAGCTCAGATCTGGGTTGCTCTGTTAGGAGCTGTGTGAGCTGGGGTCAGGCCTCAGTTCCTCATGTGTAAAACGAATGCTGACTTTGCCAGGTTCTTGGAGGATTCAGTGAGATAGCGTGTGTGCGGGGCTTAGCGCACTGCCTGGCACGTGGCAGGCTTGCCACGTCTAATAATGAATTGGCAGAATGAAGCTCACACGTTGTCAGACGTTTGACAGGACCAAGACGTGTTTGGAACAGCAGCTACGGTGACCAAAGCGTCCTTCCCAGGTCCTGCCCAACCATAGTAATGCAGAGGCCTTGTCTCGTTGACTCAGGTCTGTTAGTCGATCAGGACGCGCTGATGGAGGCTCTTCAGACTGGGGTCATCAAAGGGGCAGCGCTGGATGTGACGTACCCGGAGCCCCTGCCCAGGTAAGGAAGCCGGACAGAACTGCCATCTCTCTCGAGGCACGGAGGGCACTCCTCCAGTAGTCACTGTTTTTGGCTTTTGCAGCCATGTTAAGTCACAAACCGGCAGGGTCTCAGCCGTGGAGGGGTCCGAGCAGGCCTCTGGTGACCTGTCCGGTTCTGCAGTTGGCCAGACATCTGTTTCAACACCTCCGTGCAGAGGGAGCTCTGAGCTTTCGGGCAGCAGCCCCCATGGGTGGAGACTGCACTGGACAGTCTTGCTCCTATCCAACCAGAACAGTCCTTGCCTTAGCCAATGACCCTGATTTGCCCCTTGGAGCATCAGAGTCCCTGACCATTGTCCTCTTTACAAACCTTGTGTATTGTCCGACAACCGCCATGTGTCTGAGGTTAAGTATCTTCAGGTCCCCCGATCACAGCTGAAATGGTAGCATTTCCAGACACCTTGTCATCATTAATGCTTCTAGCACTTTAGTTTTTGAGGTCCTTTGATAATGTGCTCTCAAGACCTGAACACAGCCTTCATGTTGGGGTCTGACCACGCAGGTTGGTTTCGCAGTGTGTATTCCTAGCAGGCCCATTGCATTCTTAGTTCATTCCATTTTTAGTCAGCAAAAATTGAAATTATTCCCTCAATTGTCTTTTAAATATATGCGTGGAATTTTACATTTATTTTTATTTAATGTAATTTGCTTCTGTGTCTTAAGGACATTTTATTTTTATTTAAAAGATTTTAGTTATTTGTCAGAGAGAGCACAAGCAGGGGCAGCGGCATGCAGAGGGAGAGGGAGAAGCAGGCTTCCCGCGGAGCAGGGAGCCCGATGTGGGGCTCAATCCCAGGACCCTGGGATCACGACCTGAGCTGAAGGCAGACACTTAACCGACTGAGCCACCCAGGCGCCCCTGTGTATTTTTTGAGAGAGAGAGAGAGGGTGCATGGAGCATGCATGCATGCATGCATGCATGGGGGGGCAGAGGGTGAGGGAGAGTCTCACGTAGATGCCCTGCTGAGCCCCAACTCCAGGGTCTCCATCAAGAGTTGGACACTCCACTGACTGAGCCACCTAGGCGCTCCATGCTTGTGTTTTGAAGATTTTATTTATTTATTTGAGACAGAGAGAATGAGAGAGAGAGAGCACATGAGAGGGGGGAGGGTCAGAGGCAGAAGCAGGCTCCCTGCCGAGGGGGGAGCCCGATGCGGGACTCGATCCCGGGACTCCGGGATCATGACCTGAGCTGAAGGCAGTCGCTTAACCAACTGAGCCACCCAGGCGCCCTCCATGCTTGTGTTTTGACCCATTGATCCAGCCTGTTGGGACTGGAGTCTTGATTCTGTCATTTATTTTGAATCTTGGTGTCATTCATTAAGCCAGGTTTGATTCCTCCAGCTTTGATTTCTGTCTAGTAAGCAAATTACTGTCAGCTGGATGTTTGACATTACAACCAAATTTAGTATCTTAAGTTTATCAAGACTGACCATAGAACTTACATTTCTGAAAAAAAAACACAAACAAGTTTATTTAGAATAGTTTCTCAGAATGTGGTCTGGAGACGCTTTGAGGGGTCTGTACAGTCATAATTTTTCACTGATGTTTCAGTACAGACTGATGACATCATCACTCTGACAACTAATGAAATGTGTGCTTCTGTTATTGTATTAATCTTTTTTTAGTTTTAATCTCTAATACAATAAATGTTGACAGATACAACCCATAAAAACAAATGCTTTTTGTGATTCTCAATTTTAAGAGTGTAAAGAGGGGCACCTGGGTGGCTCAGTCGGTTAAGCGTCCGTCTTCAGCTCAGGTTGTGATCCCAGGGTTCTGGGATCGAGCCCCGCATCGGGCTCCCTGCTCAGCGGGGAGTCTGCTTCTCCCTCTGCTTCTCACTTGCACTCTCTCTCTCACTCAAATAAATAAAATCTTAAAAATTTTTAAAAAGAGTGTAAAGAGGTCCTGGGGTGCGTGACTGGCTGTTGGTAGAGAGTGCGACTCTTGACCTCAGGGTTGTGAATTCAAGCCCCACATTGGGGGTGGAGCCTACTTAAAAAAAAAAAATTAGCAACAAAAAAAAACTGACCTGAAGAGTGTACCTGAGACCAAATGTTTGAGAACCACTAATGTAGAACAAAAGAATGTCAGTATCAATTAAGAAGCATGAGCATTCTAGACAGTTGTCAATTTATTCAGAAACCTAGAAGCTTAGGGCTCACCTGTTGCCGAGTCTGCTGAATGAGCTTTTTGGTAGCTTCACTAACAAGTCACAGGGCAAGGACAGGGGTCTCTCCCAAAGCTTGTCAGTGTTATCCTGTGACTTAAATCTCAGCAATGCCAGTGTTGCAATGTTGTGCTGGTACAATTCAGTTTCATGACATAACAAATCCGGTCTTGCCTGTACGCCAAATACTCTGGACAGGTGTTGTTACAATTGGCCACGACTCTGTTTTTCTGAGTTCTGAGTCGTGGGGACAACCTCATACTGAGACTGGTGTCCGGCGTGTGCTGTTAGATAGTAGGGCCCACCTCCTTCCTAGCAGGAGGACAGAAGTGTTTTTTCGAGTAGTTTCTGCCCTGCTAACGGTATTATAGGCTCTGTCTTCACTTTGATCAGCCCTGGGGGCAAGGACAGTCATAGTGCATTGATATAAATTACAAGTGCCCCCAGAGAATTTCCACAGATTTGGGGTCCATAATATTCCCAGAGGATGGAGGCTTATTGCTGCATGCTTACTTCGGCTTTTGTATTAAAACAGTCAAGAGGCCCTGCCGGGTTAGGTCACTGCCCTTTTCTAGTGCTGGTTGCTGGGGTTACCATCATTGTTTGAGTCCCCCTGACCCCCTTCACTAACACTTCCTTCTTTTTCCAGCTGACTCCCATCCTCTGCCTTCTTTGGGGAAGAGAACTCCCCCTCCAGTTAATCTTTCCCCTCTGAATGCCACTACTCATTAAAGGCACATTCAGCCTGTCCCATGATGCCTAGACTAGCATCCAGATCCCCAAGGGCCTCTTCTGTTTTGGGGGCCAGTGTTGTTTAATCCACCCCATGTCATGGCATTGTGTGCTAATGGTCTGGGTGTGACTAGGATACTTGTTTTGCCCCCCAAAATGCTGCCCCCCCACTTACTGGCATTAGATGAGTGGGGTCATGCTGTAAGGCTACCCATAGCCTCCCCTTCTCAGCATGAGGGTATCAAACCAGAATGTGAAATTAGAGACACCAAACCATGCTGAACAGTTTTCATCAATTAATCTGCATTTCAGAGATCATCCTTTATTGAAGTTGAGGAACATCACTCTGACACCTCACATTGGAAGTGCTACTCACCAAGCCAGACGACAGATGATGGAGAATCTGGTGGAAAGCATCCTGGCTTCTCTCAATGGCCTTCCCATTCCTAACGAAGTGCTACTTAAATGATCTTATGTGGGCTCATCAGTGCGATGACAGATTAAATGGGAAAAAAATCTTATTTTGTGTTTTACTAGAGTCCATTATATAGATTGGTTTAATATTCTTTTGGCCAAAGGGTGCCTGGCTGGCTCAGTCGGAAGATGTCAGGGTCCTGTTTGAGGCCCCACCTAGGGAGTGGAGATCAGGTAAATAAATACATTTAAAAAAATGTTTAATATTCTTTTGGCCAAAAAACCTTGAGAGCAGTAATGCTGTCCACTGAGAGCTTGCTCAGCGCTTGGCGTCCTCTCTCACTCCCTCCTCCGGGCAGCTCTGAGGGCAGCTGTCCTGTTGCCTAGTGAAGCCCAGCACAGAGCTGCTGGCGTCCCCCCTCAACAGCAGGCAGACACCTGCCTTTGGAGTGAACCCTGGGCTGGGTCTGCATCTCCGGGGGCCCTGCCGCCTTCCCTCCTGCCGTGGGTTAGTGTCCCTGACATTCTGACCCTCCAGCGACAGCGTCCGTGCGCCAAGTTCCCGCGAGGACTGCGGCCCCGGTCGTGCGGGCAGGAGGGGCGCGGGGCGTCGAGCCGGGCGGACCCCCAGGCACGGGCCTGCCTCCTCCTGGAGCGCACAGGAGGCTGCTGAGGCGGCAGGGGCTCCGCTTCAGGAGCCCGGGGTCGTCCGCACCTCACCCCCCCGCTCTCATCTTCAGCCGGGTGGCGCGGGCGCTGCTAGGCGCACCTCCCCACTTCGCGCACGGGCGACCGCAGTCCCAACCGCACTCCAGGCGGCGCAGAAGCACTTGCACTCCCCCCGCCCACGCCTGCCACCTGGCCTGCAGGCCCCGCCCCCCGACGTCGCCCCGCAATGCCCCGGCCTCTAGAGCCCGCCCCGCTCTGTATGCACACCGCGTACCACACGGCGCCCTGAAGGTACGTCGCCACGCCCCTACGTCGCTCCGTACGCAGGTCGCCCCGCCTCAGATTACACTGCGTCTCCGAATTCACCTCATTCCGCGTGCTTCCGCCTAGTCCGTCGGCCCCGCCCCGCGTCGGCCCCGCCCCGCGTCCCCTCACGCCGCCCCGCGTCCCCTCACGCCGCCCCGCGTCGCCTCACGTCGCCCCGCCCCGGCGCTCTTGCAGCAGCCATGTGGGTGGTAACTCTCCGACCGTGGGGCCTTCTCGAGGGGCTCCCGGCGTTACTCCGTGGTCGCCACGCGGCTCTCCTTCCGGGTGGTGCGCGAGGCCTGAATGGCTCGCCGGTCTCTTGCAGCAAGAACCTACTCAAGAAATTTGCTTCGAAAACCAAGTAATGCGCACCTCGTCCGGGTGGGGGCGCTGGGCATGGGGGCAGTGCTCTTGTGGCAGAGGGCGACTAACTTCGGGTAGGGGGCAGGGGCAGTGTCCGTGGGGCAGGACGCAGGTTCGGGGGATCTGTCCACGAGAGGGGGGCGGCCCACGGGGCAAGGGGAGGG